AAAGTTGAAGGATGCTTAGCAAATGATGGAAATCGAAAAACATTCGAACTATTAAGACTTGAACACTCCAAAGAATACCCAACAGAAACTTTACCGTTGTGGAGGTCTCGTCCAGGTTAGGAGTTGTTTGGCAAGCAAGGGTCTGAAATCTGCGAGTCTTGCGGTGAGGGTAGCGAGGATTTCCGATTATTTGCGGAGGTTGAGGGATTTGCAGGCATGGTCGGAATCTATGGAGACTAATGGGGTTTGAAGACAAGCGAGCCATCCAAAACGGGAGAGAGAATTTTTCCGATGGCCTCGGAGATTTCAATTCAATCGGCAATCGCTGTCACAACTGAGAATTTGCTTGCGAGTTGCAACTGCTGGCAAGATTTTTTGCTTCAAATTTTCGTAGGAAAAACTTCAACCTCAGAAATATTACATTTCGACATTCCGCAGACGGCTTCTTTTCCTTAATAGAACGGTTAAGTCGAAAATGAGAAAAGAATCCGTTGGCCAAAGAGATACTCCTCCGGCGCTTAATAAATATCCTAATTATTGAGTTGATTTTCATCCTAAATATAAGATCTATTTTTATATTTATCAATTTTCTCTAAATTATCCCATAGATACTCTCTCAACCATAATCAAGTAAAAGAAGGAGAGGAGATATTAAGAAAGATGATTATGATATTTTAGAAAAAATGTGTCACATTTCTTATAATTAACTAACTTACCTAACTTCCTTAATTTAATCAAATTAGTTAAATGGGTCTTATATTAAAGACCGGAGGAGTAATAGATTTTCATGAAGAGGAAAAATATTGAAAGGAATCAGAATACTATTTTAAATTATATTTAACTTGTTAAAATACAATCATAATAAGAATAAAATTTGATAAATAAGATCATGTCTTAGAAAAAATTTTAAAAATTGATTTTCATTATTTTAGTCTGTAAATAAATATAAATAGTAATATAATTTTTGTCGTAATAATTTTATATCGCTTGACAGACATATTATTAACATTATTATATTTATTATACATAGACCTCAAGCCAACAAGTAGAATGGAATTTGAAATCTTTGAGACATTTTCTTTTGTAAGAATAATTCTAGTGAGAATTAAAATAAATAAATAAAACCAAATATTGACAGCATTGGTTTTTTCCTATTATAATTATATTTTATACTACGTATAAATATTGGTTTTGAACAAAAATGTGATGGAGCATACAACATCTAAGTTATATACAGATTAACTACATGCTTGGTGAATTGGTTTCATGCTGAAAATCAATAACTAAAACTTGATTTTGCTTGTTTCTATTTGAAAACAAAACACATCCTAAAACATGGGTTATTTTTAGGAAAAATCGTCTATAAGTACTAGATAAGAAAATTAAATGCACATGAGTAATTTTTCATGACGTTTAAATAGTAGAAAAAACAAATAAATAATTACTTCTAAGAGAAGTACAAGAACTTTATAAAGTGACTGTTCGGGTTAATTTAAAATAAGTTTTTGTGTTGGGAAAACAAATATTTTTGCTATCTATAAGATAGAATTCTTTTCGCATGTTTATTTCTTACAACATAAAATCAAGGGAAAATGACAATAAAATACCACCTGAATTTCAAAAAGACAAATAAGGCACCTGAATAAGCAAAATGACATATAGGGGACTGGGTACCAATCTGGAATTCAGATTTTTGGCCAAAAGACCAAAATGCCCTGTCTGAAAGTGAGAGGAAGGAGAGAGGAAGACACTGATGAAATACGGGAAGGAGAGAGGAGGAAGACGCTGATGAAATCGGGAAGAAGAGAGGAAGGAGAGAGGAAGACACTGATTTTCGATGGGTTCCCACAGCTTAAAATGTTATTGCCTAGCATTTCTCTAAAAAATTTTGGTTCTGTCTTTGTTCTTCGTATAAAACCATTTTCAGAGAATGTAAAGCTGTGGGAAAGATGAACCTGTGGGAAAGATGAAGCGAAAATCAGAAAACAATGGCAAGCAATTACGTAACGTAACTGCTGTCATATACTTGCTGTTTTTTAGTAAATCCCACTACGTAAATGGTAAATTTCACCATGCATGTAGTTAATTATGAAAGTTAATAGTTCAATGTTTATTGTGACGTACTTCAAATGCACGTTCACTGAATGATTTATTTATGCTTATAAGTTGCCTTTCCGGTGAAAACAGGTTTACAAAACCCATTGAAGAAGTAGTCACTTTCACTATAAAAGTTGTAAATCCCAGTATATGTTTTGTAAAATTCAACGTGAAATTTTATTGGTTTTTACAAACAAGTTGTTTATCTCCTGAAAACATGTTGCAAAACCCATTAACAAAGTAGTCACTTTCACTACAAAAGTTGTAAATCACAATATGTATTTTGTAAAATTCATAATTAACTACATGTATAGTGAAATTTACAACCACTATAGTGAAAATGACCACTTCTTAAATGGCTTTTGCAACCAGTTTTCAGGGGATGGGCAACTTGTTTCTAAAAACCAATAAAATTCCAGACTGAATTTTACAAAACACACAGTGATATTTACAACTTTTATAGTGAAAATGACCACTTCTTAAATGGCTTTTGCAACCAGTTTTCAGGGGATGGGTAACTTGTTTCTAAAAACCAATAAAATTCCATACTGAATTTTACAAAACACACAGTGATATTTACAACTTTTATAGTGAAAATGACCACTTCTTAAATGGCTTTTGCAACATGTTTTCAGGGGATGGGCAACTTGTTTGTAAAAACCAATACAATTTCACGTTGAATTTTACAAAACATATACTAGGATTTACAACTTTTATAGTGAAAGTGACTACTTCTTCAATGGGTTTTGTAAACCTGTTTTCACCGGAAAGGCAACTTATAAGCATAAATAAATCATTCAGTGAACATGTATTTGAAGTACGTCACAATAAACATTGAACTATTAACTTTCATAATTAACTACATGTATAGTGAAATTTACCATTCACGTAGTGGGATTTACCAAAAACCAGCAGGCATATGACAGCAGTAATGTTACGTAATTGCTTGCCATTGTTTTCTGATTTCCGCTTCGGTTCACTCCTTCTCTCACTACAAATCCTCTTTCCCACAACCAAAATCAACAATCTCTACAGAATAGTGATGCGAAGGAGTAAGATAATAGCATTTCCAATATTCTTCTTTCCTTCTTCCCGCATTTCATTAGCGTCGGTCTTCCTCTCTCCTTTCTCTCACTGCGTCGGTCTTCCTCTCTCCTTTCTCTCACTTTCAGCGTCTGTCTTCCCGCATTTCATCAGGGCATTTTGGTCTTTTAGCCGAAAATATGAATTCCAGATTGGTACCCAGTGCCCTATTTGTCATTTTGCTTATTCATGTGCCTTATTTGTCTTTTTGGAATTCAAGTGGTATTTTATTGTCATTTTCCCTAAAATCAATTTTTCAACATTAATCTAAATGAACACAAAACCAAGAATGGGTTGTATGATTCACTGTCATGATGAAACGCAGCGTTCCCAGTTTATTAGCTGTTGACATTGGAGCTGGGAATTTTTCTGTTTTGGTAGTAAGCGTGGGCGGCATTATTTGTAGTGTTGGCCAAAAGAAGGTGGCATTACTCCATTGAGGGATGTTCGAACAAGTTTTTTTTCAAAAAAAAAAATAATAAAAAATTTATTTGTGATCCCACCTTTAATTAATATTATTAAATCACTGCATGATGATTGATATTCCTCAACTGAGACTGACTTATGATCCGTTTAGATTAGTGATTAGAAAAGCAGCTTATTGTTGATTTGACTTTTGAAAAAGTTGGATTAAATAAAAGTTAAATTGGGTGATGTGTTTGGATTAGATTTTATAAAAGTTAACTTGTAAAAGTTAGACTGGGTAAAAAGTTGTTTGAATTATGATTGGATAAGTAATTTTAGTTTGTAAAATTACCGAAATGAGTAAGACTTTTATTAAATAATAAGCTCATGTTGACCTCATATAGTTTCTTTTATTTTTTATCATTTATTATAAAAGTATATTTGAAAACAAAAGTATATTTCTAGAGGCATATTTGAACTCATAAGTATATTTTTAACTTATTTATTACTTTCAACTAATTTTAATTAATTTTTTATTCTCTACAAATTAGTTATTTGAGGTTTATAATAAGAACAAGAGGATTAGTACATTTCTTAATTTTTTCTCTCTCTATGTTGCAAAAGCTACAAGTCACAAGCTATAAATCATAGGTAGCTAATTTTTACTTATAGTTTATTGTAGCTTTTTATGCAAAAGTCAGATTGTTCTATCACCAATCCAAACACAACAAATTTTTCAACCATGCTTCTGCTTATAAAAAAAAAAAAGTAATTTATTACCCTCCAAATGCTGAGCCAAACAGGCTCCTAACAAGCTCACTTATCTGGTTCAGGTTAAAAAAGGTTGAATAAATATTCCCATTTAACGCCAAAAAAAAAAGAAAAAAGAAAATAAGGAATGTACTAACGGTAGTGAAGATGCTATAATATGCAGGGATAAAACCTATGTTTGGATTTCATTTTTTTTTTTTAACAGCTTACGGTTTTAATTTTATTATTTTTATCTTCAGTGAATATAATGTAAAATGTTAATTTTAAGTTACCCTTCCTCATTCCTTCTATATGAGAAACATGTCTATTTTTATAAAATGCCACAGCTTATGGCTCTGTCGCGACGCTGACAAACTCAATTATTTTTATATATTTTACTATCTTTTATATGAGTTTTGTCAGCTTAATTGGTCCCTTTTTGCCTTAATTGATTTATTTTATTTTATTTTGAATTATTATTTTATAGGGGCAAAATTGTCATATTTTGGTTTAATTGTGATTAATTGATTTTTGAGGACAATTAATGCTACCTTATTTTTTAATTTTGTTTCAGGGTTTTTGAAAGATTTAAAAATAAAAAATAAAAAATAAAAAAAAGAAAAAAAATATAATTCAAAAATTAAATATATAGTATAATAAAAAGAGGGAGCAAAACGTTGTGTTTTGCTCCCCCAACCTAATATCCAATAATCACCTTCAGCTTGAACGAGGAGAACACACGGACGGAGGCCGAACACATACGAAACAGAGCAAGCTTTGGGCGGCGGAGAACGAAACACACACACACGTTAGCTCTTGACGGCGAAGGACCAGAGTGAGGCGGAGTCTTCCATCACCACCATCTTCGTCTTCGCTGAATCCTCCTGGTGGCAGAGAGGAGTGCGACAGCGAGAGGTGTGCACGAGCTGAGGGAAGACGCAGGCGGCACCAGCAGAAAAACAGAGAGCAGAGCATGCCGAACGGAGCTGAATACACGGACGCTGAAGGCGAGCTGGGCGCGGCTGGAGAAAGGACCAGAGAACACGCAGACGCAGACCAGCGAGCTGAGGGCGGAAGACGCAGCGAAACAGAGAAGTGAACCATTCAGCGTGAACAGTGTTCTTCCATGGGATCCTGTAGCAAAATACTGATTGCAGCGAATTTTATGGCAAACCGTGGCTAATTCCTAATTCTCTAATTCAACAATAATGGCAGGAGCTTAGATCATCAAAGGGGAGTTTCAGTTGCTTTAATTTCCTACTCAATAATTGTTTAATAATTCCTAGGTCTTAGGATAGTTTTTCTGATTATTGGGATAATTGTATTGCTTAATCTGATTATATTTGGGGATTATTGTGACTGAATTATTGCTTAGTATTTGACATTGGGCTGTTTATAGTTTGATCTCAATTATAATGTTGTGGTTATGACATTTGTATTGATTTTGGAATTAATATATTGTGATTTTCTAAGGTGGCTTAGAATTTTGGATCATATAGTCTCTTGCTAGCTTTAATTCTGTTATTTTGGATTTAAGAGTTCTAATTAAGCATTGGTTTTTAGCATCCTTAATCCCATTTTACTATTCTGGTTGCAGTTAGTAAGTTGGGATTTTAGGAAAATATTTTGTGACAACTCGAGGTGGCTCGGTTGTTGGATTAAAAGCTTAATTATAATTCTTAATTCATTGTTTTTAACTCCCACATCTTTTAGAGTGATGATTGCCTACATTGTTGAATTAGAGGATTGATTACCATCAGTGTTATTCGTGTGTCTCATTTTCATTTCTTTAATCTCCATTCATCCTAATCACTTTTATAAAAAAAACAAAAAAAAGTATTTTAATTTCAATTTGATTCGTAGTATTTAATTAACAGCTTTTCAAAATCAAAAATCTCTTTTTATAGTCTAGGTTACTTGCATTCATTTACTAGGGTTTAATTTCATTTTCGGCTCCTCAAAGTGAAACGACCCGAGTTTTGCACTATATTGCATTAATTCGGTTAATTTTTGGAGTAACCCCAAAGCGACAATTAAGGGAAGTTCAACTTCAGACGCCAAGGTGTGGGTCTATGCATTCCATGAAATATAAATAACAGCCACAATATTGTTTTAAATTCTATCCTTCTTACAGTGCTTATTATAAAGATCTATTACTTTATATTTATATGTGTATGTGTTGTGTGTTAAGAAATTAAGCCAAAATCAGTTAATGTTTTTAGAACTTAAAAATTATGTCCAAAAATTTCATTGGTTATAGAAGATTGCTTAATTATTGAATGAGAAGTTTGATTCAAATCCTAATTTGAATAGAAGTACAATAATATGCTTTGGATGATCCACATTTTAGGTCAGGCGTGGATCCTTACAACAAAAAGTTACTCCTCCTTTTCCCTCTTATAAGATCCTAATATAATTTTAAAAGGGATTAATATAATGTTTGGTTCTTTAAATTTGTTCTTGTCTTGATTTTAGTCTTTTAAGTTTAAAATTATAGGTTTTGATCCTTCAAAAGGTAAAATAGTCTAGATTTTTGTTAAATTATAAGAACCAATGCTTTAAATAAAAAGAAATTTGAGGGAAAAAAATTATATCAACTCTTTAAAAAATATGCTAAAATTAATTAAAAGTAATAAATATCACCTCCGGTCCTTAATATAAGAGTCAGTTTAACATAAAATTTGGTCCTACTTATATGATTCCAATCCTCTTTGTCTCTTATATTTAACCATTTTTTTCAAATTAGTTCTTGTAGTATATGTAAATGTTAAAAATTCCATTAAATGGTAATTATAGATAATACACATGATTAGTAAAGTTATTTTGATAAATATAACATCTATTTATTACAAATAATTAACAAACTTTCTTAATCTATTTAAATTAGTTAAGTAACTCTTATATTAAGAACAGAAGGTAGTATATAAGAAATGTAGTACTTTTTTTCTAAATATGTTTTTATTTAGGGAAAATTTCACTGTAGGATCATAGAAGACAATTAATTTCAAAGAGCCCCCAAAACTTTCTGAAACTTCACTGCAGGACCAAGGGGGCAAACTGATATTAATTCCACAAAGAAAATGACGCTATTGCCCCTCATAATACTTATTGCAGGGTGACATGTAAATGGACTAATTTCAGTTGTAAATAAAGGTATGTATGTTGCAAATTGACAAGTCCCACTTGCAAATGGGCTCTCTCACACTTATTCACTCACAGGCACATTTTTCAGGTGAATGAGGTGATATGTAAATGGACTAATTATAATTGTAAATAAATGTATGTATGTTGCAAATTGACTAATCCCACTTGCAAATGGGCGCTCCCACACTTGTTCACTCATGGAGACCTTTTTCAAGTGAAAGAAGTGACATGTAAATGGACTAATTCCAGTTATAAATAAATATATGTATGTTGCAAATTGTCTAGTTCCACTTGCAAATGGGCTATCCCACACTTGTTCACTCAGACACATTCTTCAGGTGAAGAAGGTAATATGTAAATGGACTAATTTTAATTGTAAATATATCTATGCATGTTGTAAATTATCTAACCTCACTTGCAAATGCGTTCTCCCATACTTGTTCACATGAGGGGCAATAGGGTCATTTTCTTTGTGGAATTAATATCAGTTTGCCCCCTTGGTCCTGTAGTGAAATTTCAGAAAGTTTTGGAGACTTTTTGAAATTAATTCTGTACTGCGGCCCTTGAACGAAATTTTCCCTTTTATTTATAAGAGGGCAAGTGAAAGAAATACATTGTAAGAAAAATATTTAAAAAAATGCATGGGAAAAACAAGTAACATTGCCGCATAATTATTATTTTTTGAAAAAGTGTCCCTACTAACAATCTCCGACAGTTATGGGCTCCGACTTCGAAAAGCTTTGGTTGTTTGTTGTCCGTCTTCGCATCGTCTTTTCGTTCGAGAATGTCCGAAAACCATAGCCATGCATACCAGCAGTAGCAGTGAGATCTAGTTACATGAATATTTATTATCAAATCAAGAATTATATTAGTAATTTATTGTCCCGATAAAGGTAAATTTTTTAAATTTAATCGCATCCGCCTAAGTGTCACATTTGAATCTGATTTCAATCTCTTGTTAAAGTTTCATTCCCCTCAATTCAAAGATGTCCGATGATTGAGTTAATTTTTATAAGGAGTTCGTTAAAAAATCAGAACTTTTTGTATGAAATGAAATTTGGAGTGAACTAAAAGCCTGCTCCCTGCTTTCTCTGCTTTCCCTCAATTGGCATCTCAGTTTGAAAACTTGAAAATGTCATTTTTCAGATTCATTTTGAAAGTGTGATAACAGTAATGGACCTTGAAATAGTTGTCGCTCATTAAAGACAGTCATAAATTCCAAGGATTGAAGGACGAGAGGGTAGCTATGGAAGCATTTATGAGGAGATCGCTCTCTTTACTAATTTAGATTTTCTTTTAATTTGTTTGAGGGCTCAGAGAAATTTAGACACCTTTCCACACCTGAACATCCCTGCCTCATAGGGCCAGCCTTCAAGATCTTTACCTGGCTCTAAGGATTTATAGTAGTAGCCTTCTTTTTATGTCTCATTTCCAGCTTTGTGGCTTTTTTCAGCCAGTTACATGATACCCATTTCACATAGGACCAAAATTATGATACCCTTTAGTTTAAAGCCTCTCAATGCTTTGCTTTTTGATCCCCCTCTTAGGAAATGGCTGCCTTCTGTCCTCTTTAAATTTGATTCAAATGGCTCACAGTTAGAGTGAAATCGTGATGAAGAATAACAAAATCCCAATTGCTGTGTGATGTGATCCTTCTTGTGTTTTATTTTTTTAGGGAAAAAAACTTGTTTTTGACACTAGAAAAAGAGGAGGTGGTGGACCAAGACAACGTTATGATTTTAACGAATTATATTCACAATCTTCATGACCTTGTTGGGAAGCTTATGATCATTAATACTGCATTGGTTAACTAGATTAAGACATTGAAAATGTGAGATTGGTGAGTTCAAGGGCATCTCTGTCACCCTTTCAGGATAACCTCATGCTAAAATTAATCTGGATCAATTCAATAGGTCAGGAAATTAGATTCTTCGTGATAAAATACAGAAAATTGAAATCAAATTCAAAACATCTCAATTTCTTTTTATATAAACTTATTTTGAATTATATATCATGTAAAATATATATGAATTTTATATTCATAATTATATACAATATCTTTGTTACCTTGGAGTTGTCACCCTCAATTGTAATTTCCATCACGAGATGTTTAATTCTTTATGCAGAAAACGTATGAATAAAAAAACACACGGTATGGCCAGCGGGGGATCCATATCATTGTCTTTTCAATGGTTTTAAGAAGAAAACTCATCAAAGGGACTTCTTTTTATTTCTTTTCTCTGTTAACCTTATTTTGGCCTCTTACGGCACCTGAGGGAGGATCGGAACAGTAGGTGAGATTTTCATATGCTTCAAAGTACTAGCAAAATCAAGTTTGGTAATGGAAGGAAGATGGATCAAATATATTGTCCTCTTTAGGAATTTGTTAAAGGTCCATTTGTTTATATCGAGTTTGGGGGATTCCATTCTGTGAGTCACTTTTCTTTCTTTCTTTTTTAACTCAGAAGTTTTGTCTGTTCTGTTCCTTTATAAACTTCGTCAGAAAGCACAAGCAACCTCTTTGATTCTCAGTCCTCATAAAGGATTTCATCCTTCACTACTCTTCTATCGTTCTGGTTGTTCTCAGAACCTCCGTCTTCACGTTCCACTTGAACTGAAATTATTTTTGTATTTGTTCTTCATGCATCTAACTTTCTTCTAAAAATTTTAATCTCAACCAAGCTTTTCCCTAGAATACGATTTTCCTGAGAAAATGACAGCATCTGAAAAGCCCAGCACCAAAGGACAAGCATGGTTAGATAAATCTCTTACTCTTTTAACCCCTTTTCTTTTGCATTATCTATTGCAATTTGTGACGATTTCTCTGTGTAGGTTCTGCACCACCGGATTGCCAAGCGACATTGTGGTAGAAGTGGAAGACATGACCTTCCATCTTCACAAGGTAAGCCTATATTAGATGGGTTTGTTCCCATCCCCAGGACTAACAATCATATGTACCCTATTCTCTGAAATTTCTCACCTGTGTGATATACTCCAGTTCCCTCTGATGTCAAAAAGTCGAAAGATTCACGACCTGATTACAGAGCAAGAAACGAATCATTCCTCTGCTGCTAGAATCCAACCTGCTGGCACAGAAACACAATCTGTCCCCGAGGAAATTGAGGAAGACGACGAAATTGCTGAAGAACACTGTCATATAACATTTGCAGACTTTCCCGGCGGCTCCGAGACCTTCGAGATAGCTGCCAAGTTCTGCTACGGTGTCAAAATCGACTTATCCTCTTCCAATGTGGTCTCTCTCCGCTGCGCTGGTGAGTTTCTTGAGATGACAGAAGAGTACTCTGAAGATAACCTCATCTCCAAGACCGAGAAGTTTTTCTCTCAGTTTGTCCTCAAAAGCATCAAGGACTCCATTAGAGCGCTCAAGTCCTGTGAGAGATTGATGCCTCTGGCGGAGACATTAGGCATTACGCAGATGTGTATAGATTCCGTTGTTGCCAGCGCCTCGTCATCGGATCCGGCATTGATTGGTTGGCCGCTGAGTGATCCCGGAGCCAACGACGCAACAACTCGAGGTTCTGACTCGAAGCAGATCTTGTGGAATGCGATTGGGACTGGTGGAAAGAGAAAAGGCGTAAGCAGAGGCGTTACAAGAGGAGACCCATGGCTTGAGGATCTGGCGCGCCTGAGTTTTCCTGTTTTCAAGCAACTCATTCTGGCCCTGAAAAATACGGATACGAGACCGGAGGTAATAGAGTGTTGTCTTCTGTATTACGCAAAGAAACACATTCCTGGTGTATCAAGGTCGAGCCGGAAGTCCTTAACCTCATCTTCGACGGCAGTTTCAGAGGCTCAACAGAAAGGGTTGCTGGAGACTATAATATTGAATCTTCCATTGAAGAGTAGGTCCAAGTCCTCCGCAGCAACGAGGTTTCTGTTCGGATTATTGCGAACAGCCAATATATTGAACGCATCCGAAGTTTGCAGAGATACATTGGAGAAGAAGATAGGTTCACAGCTAGAGGAAGCGACGCTGGACGACCTTCTCATACCCAACTACTCGCATTTGAACGAAACACTATACGACGTAGATTGTGTGGAGAGAATGTTAGGTCATTTCTTAGAGGGTTTAGAAGAAAGAAACGATGCCGCAACAATTGACGGCAGGTCGCCGACGTTAACGTTTGTGGGTAAACAAATCGACGGCTATCTTTCCGAGATAGCTTCCGATGCAAATCTCAAACCAGAAAGGTTCTACAACTTCGCTCACTCTCTTCCCGAACAAGCCCGACTCTTCGACGATGGTCTCTACCGTGCCATAGATATCTATCTCAAGGTAGCAACAAGTACCGACAATTAGTAATGTGATTTTTTCTCCTTGTCATTTTCGCAAACACCTTTAAGACACATGAATTCACTCTTCTATTCCTTACAGGCACACCCACGGACATCAGAAGCAGAACGCGAAAGGATTTGCGGGTTGCTGGACTGTCAGAAGCTAACACTAGAGGCGTGCACGCACGCAGCGCAGAACGAAAGGCTCCCATTGAGAGCAGTGATCCAAGTACTGTTCTTCGAGCAGCTTCAGCTCCGGCACGCGGTGGCGGGGTCGTTCATGTCAGCGGAAGCGGCGATCGACGGCGGGAGGCCATCTGGGGGCGGGATGGAAGAGGAAGCACGTGAGAAGGAGGGGAGCGGCACGTGGAGCGTAGCGGAGAGAGAGAATCAGGTGCTGCGGCTGGACATGGATAGCATGAGGACGCGGGTGCATCAGCTGGAGCGGGAGTGCTCCACCATGAGGAAAGTGATCGCGAAGATTGACAACAAGGCGGGCCCACAAGGAGGCAGAGGCTGGAGGGCATCCCTGGGGAAAAAGTTCGGGTGCAAATTCAAAACGCAGGTTTGTGACTCCCGCGAACAGGCAGTGGTTGACACACGCAAGGGACGACCCCATCAACACCAACCCCCCCATGCCCATGCCCATAATGAATAACCTGCTGCTTAACGTCACGTGAGATTGGTGAAGCGGTTAGCTGAATCATCTTTTTAATCCCCGCATTCTGTTTATGAACTGTTAAAAACAACCCCAAAAGGGGGAAAAAACCCACGCAGGATTTTGGTTTGGCAGGATGGTGATGTGGAAGTTAGTGATTGGTTAAGTGGAGACGCGGCTTTTGAGGTGAAGGGTGCAGAGCGCAAGACATGAGAAATATGGGGGAATAAATGAGAGGGGGTGTCAGTGATTATTGGTAACGGGGAATAAAATTAACTAATTAAGATGCATTATACGAGGCTGGGAACAGTAGCTGGGGGTGGCAGGGCCGGAAAATACTAGAAGGGAAGGAAGAATGAATAGGGATTGCTTGTGGTGAAAGGTCATCAAAGAAGGGGGAAGGGGTGATGATTGGGAGGAGGAGTAGCTAGAAAGGCTGGAGGATGGGGCCATAATTGGTGCACTTTTCCCTGTAGGCTAATCATAATCTCATTTATTTTAGAGAGTTGGGGATTCACAATCAGACCCATGATTTTGCTGCGTGTTCCGTAATTTTTCAACCATCATCATTATGTGACTGAGTCATGTATAAGGAACCTTTTCAATCAATACCCCCACATGGGCACCTCCCCTAACTCTTCATGTTTCTTCTTTTTTTTTTTTTTAATTTGTTCAAGGCCCCAATACTCTTCGACTTTTCGTTTATATTGGTGCGACCCGTCTATAATAACAGCATTGCTCCTGCAATTGTAACATTTTCCTGACTTCGGTTAACGTTTTCAAGTGAAATAAGTTAGGAAAAATTGGTGAAAAATACCTATTTGAAAATTTATTTCGGAATTGATCCCTACAAATGTGTCAGAGGTCCTTAAGGAAGACTAAATATTCAGATAAAAATAATGTAGTGCCCTAAACTAAGATTCAAAAAGAAAGATGAGGTTTCACCAAGTGCAACATACCATCTGTATGCGCAAATAAAAATCCTTTTTAAGTACAATTAAACTTCCGTTATGTTCACATGAGCCTAACTGCAAACGAACATAAACTGAGTGTAATATACCATCCGTATGTGCAAATAAAAATCCCTCTCAATGTAATTGAACTTCCATTTTATTTACATGAGTCCAAATGTGAATGAACTTTCACCGAGTGCAACATATTATCTGTATATACAAATAAAGATTCTTCTAAGTGCAATTAATCTTCCATTATGTTTACATGAGAGTTGGTGCAAATGAAGATTAAGTGAGTACAACATATTATCCATATGTGCAGATAAAAATCCTTCTAAGTGCAATTGAACTTTCATTATATTCACATGAGCCCAAGTGCAAACAAACTTCAACCTAGTGCAACATACCATTCATACCCCTCTCAGTGCAATTAAACTTCCATTTTGTTCACACGAGCCCAGGTGCGAACGAACTTCTACCGAGTACAATATATCATTCATATATACAAATAAAAACCCCTCTAAGTGCAATTAATCTTTTATTATGTTTACATGAGAGTTGGTGCAAATGAACATCAACTAAGTGCGACATAGCATCCGTATGTGCAAATGAAAATCCTCTTAGTACAATTGAACTTCAATTTTGTTCACATGAGCCTAGGTGCGAACGAACTTCCACCGAGTGCAACATGTCATCCGTATATACAAGTAAAAATTCATCTAACTGCAATTAATCTTTCATTATGTTTACATGAGAGTTGGATTAATGAACATCAACTTAGTGCAACATACTATTCGTATGTGAAAATAAAAATCCCTTTAAATGCAACTGAACTTCCTTTATGTTCACATGAGCCCAAGTGCAAATAAACTTCAACCGAGTGTAACATATCATCCGTATGTGTAAATAAAAATCCCTCAAAGTGCAACTAAACTTCCATCCATATGTGTGAATAAAAATCCCTCTAGGTGCAGTTGAACTTCCATTTTGTTCACATGAGCCTAAGCGCAAACGAATTTCCACCAAGTGTAACATATCATCCGTATATACAAATGAAAATCCCTCTAAGTGCAATTAATATTCCATTATGTTTATATGATAGTTGGTGCAAATGAACATCAACCGACTATAACATATTATTTATATGTGTAAATAAAAATCCTTCTAAGTGCAATTGAACTTTCCTACCTGGTAGTACAGTCTGCAATTGAACTTTCCTACCTGGTAGTACAGTCGCTTGATCCCTTGCTCATCCATATGCGGCTTGCCCAATTTTCCCTCTTCTACGTTGTCTTTCTTTTAAATTTTAGTTTAGGGCAATATAGTAATTTCATTTGAATATTTAATCTTCCTTAAGGACCTCAGCCTCTAACATTTGCAGGGACCAATTTCCAAATAAATTTTCAAATAGGTATTTTACACCAATTTTCCCAATAAGTTACTTTTTTATCTTTAGAAAATATTCATTTTTATTGGCTTATGAAGATTTTCAACCTCATCTCTTCAATCGAAACTTTCCCTCTTGTCTGGGCGAAGAGAAAACATTTCGAGTGACAGTAGAATCATTTGTTCTCTTGCCAAGGGGAATGGTGCCAAAACATGCTGACTCTAGTTTGATATTTTTTCTTTTCTCTGGTTTGGCTTTGTTATAGTGACTTAAAAAAGAAAATTAATCTCCAAGTTTGTTTCATTTGATTTTTTAATTAAATTTTTATAATTGCATTTTCTTTTTTTGTTTTTATAATTTCATTTATTGTTAATCAGGTGTGATAAAAAGAAAAAAAATCTACACAAATCTAACTGAAAATTAGATACAACCATACATTACTTTTTTTTTTTATTTATAAATGGCCTGCTTGATGACATCATATGCAGGAAAGGGGTCTCTCTACTCTTTCCCTGCAACTTCCATCCCCTTTGGCACTTCCCATCCCAACTATTACAAGTAAAATTTGCACTATTTAGATTTCGTATAAAATAATGTTATTAAGTATTTATTTTATTAGTGTTTTAAATTATCATGACTAAAATTTAGTAACTTAATTTTATTTATTTTTTATTTTAAAAAATTAACGTTTTATTTATAAAATAAGAAATTTAACCATTCAAATCTCAATCTCATAATTAATGCATCTTTCCATCCTTTTTTTTTTGTGCCAGGTACATCTTTCCATCATCCATCTTTGCAAGTTCAATTTTATTATTAAGACTCTTGGGCCCGGTCCAACAAGAGACCCCAAAAAAACAACTTGAACCCTAAGATGAAAAGGCGGATGAACCCTAATACCTGCCCGGGAATGTCTCCGTTGCGTATAAAAGTACGACATCGAGAATTCAATTTCTCGAAGGGTACGGGTACTTTTCGGGGGAGTGGGGCCTTTGGTTCTGCATGCGTTTCTCTATCGCTGGTTGTTTCATGTTTCAATTGCCTTCCTTTGCTTGTATTTCTTGTTATGATCCTTTTTTTTTTTTTTTAATTGATGGCAAATCTCTGATGGATGGATTGTGAGATTTGCGGGATTTCTTCTCAGTGATGATGAATGAAAGATGACGAGTCCGATCACTTTTCCATTCAGTGACGACCAAGCGAGGCATTTGTCTGAGAGGAGTCCTCTCTTTCATCGTTATGTTTTTGTTTTCTGTGTGCCTGCTTTGTTATATGTGTAGTTTGTTTAATTTTTCTTTTTTCCCGGTGAATTTGCATTGTTTAATTGTTTGTGGAGGAAATTTGATGTTTGTTATTTAGTGTTTTTTTTTTTAATTTTGTTTTGAATTCCACTATCAGATTCGAATACATGGCATTGTGATGATACTTACAAATTGTTCATATGATTATTCATATGATGAATACAATACCTCCTGCTCATTCTGAATGCATATTATTCGATGTCATCGAAATTTGTCGGGAGCAATTTTCAGGTGGAAGAATCTGTTTTTATTATCTTCTGTGGCTCGATTTGCTTGTCTTAGTCGCCATTACAAGCAGTCTTAATTTGGAGGAAATAATTACTTATGCAGCTGAGCTTCTCTTACGTCTTGATGTAAATGGCAGATAAGCATGATGACGGCAAATTGTATTAAATTCTAATCAGTTTGCTTGTTCGTGGAGCACTGAGTAGTGTGGCCTATGTTCTTCTGTGTGGATTTTGAAATCTTTGTCAATATGTTTTTGAGTTTTTCCCACTTGCATAGACGTGTATGCTCGCAGAACAATCCGTCTCCTTGACCCTGACACCTCTGGCTACACCAAAGTTTCAGATTCAAGTCTTCAACTATTGAAATTTAATTTTTAGTTTATTTTCCTAGAACCTGACTACCTGGCAACCTGTGCTTGAAAATAAATAAGATGATTTACATTTGGGCTTTAGTTCAAAGGCCCCAGCCGGAATCCTCAATCGGAGGTTAGGAACTTAAAAATAGAGTGAAATGAAATGAATGGGAAGTAAAATGAAAGAAAAGCTCCTTATGTATCAAAAAAGAAAGAAAGAAAGAAAGAAAAGAATGAAAGTGAGTTTTGAAAATTGTAGGATATGTTAAAAGTAAACGAAATCCTTATATTTACTTGTGCTTTAAATATACCTAAGGAATTTTTATGTCACACAGTCATTATAAAAATAGTTAAGATTTTAATTCCTTTTTAAAATTTTATCCTTCTTTAATACCACTAAAACATATAATGGTATTTTTTTAACGATTGATGCCTGAGCGAAAAACAAAGAAAGAGACTCTCTATTTGTGAATCTAGAGCACCCAAAAAATCAAAGTCGTCGGAGACTACGAAAAATTCGAAGAGCTAGCCATGGACATGGAAATCTAGAAAGCAGAACCATTTCCAAATGATGATCTATTAATCTATTACTACCTTCGATTCTAATTATAAGAGTCAGTTGACTAATTTAAGAATATTAAAGAAGTAAGTTGAGTTAGTTATTTGTCCTAAATAGGTGTTGTCTTTCCTAAAATATCCTTGCTAATCAAATGTACTAACTAGAACTATAATTATTAGAAGGATTATTTTAAAACAAATTGAGTAAATATAAGAGATAAAGTAGATTGGGGTCTAATATTTAAGATCAAAATAAAAGTCAAACAGGATCTTATATTAAGAACCGAAGGTAGTATCATCATTCGTTGCAAACTCGAACTTCTTTGGCAAGCACCCCGAAACCATTTTAGCAGCCACTTCTCAAGTTGTTATGCTTGTGCCCTTCGAACTTCGAAGACACTAATTATGAAACAAATAAAATTTTTACATTTAATTTTTAATTTCTAATTTTATTGCCACGTCATAGATTTCATTCGCCTGGATGGCCTATTTTATGACCGCAAGAATCTTGATCCCAAATGAGAAGCTTCCAACGTGGCAAGCAGTGGCACCAGGTTCGGTGGACCAATCATATATCATCTTATCTTATCCGTGATCTTACTCATACCATCCACCACACAACTCTCCAGATCCTCTTCTTCCCCAACACAAAATCACTCTCTCTTACAGAGACACAGAGAGAGCAATTGTGGAAACGACAATGGCCGCCTCACTGCAAGCAGCCGCCACCCTCACGGCCATGCCCTTGCAGCTCAAATCTTCCCACTCCATTTCCAAGGCCTTCGGCTTGCAACCTTCTGCATCGAGGCTCACTTGCTCTCTTCACCCTCATCTCAAGGACCTCGCTCACAAGTGTGCCGACGCCACCAAAATTGCAGGCTTCGCCCTCGCCTCCTCTGCTCTCCTCGTCTCTGTATGTTTCATTCTTTTTCATTCCTTCATTCATTCTTTCTTTTTTGTAATTCTGGGAACAGTTGCCGATATTTGATGCTTTAACACATTCTTTGTCAGGGGGCAAGTGCCGAGGGTGCCCCAAAACGCCTGACCTACGACGAAATCCAGAGCAAGACATACTTGGAAGTCAAAGGAACAGGAACGGCTAACCAGTGTCCGACCATCGATGGCGGAGTTGACTCATTCGCCTTCAAGCCTGGAAAATACAACGCCAAGAAGCTCTGCCTTGAGCCCACCTCTTTCACTGTGAAAGCCGAGGGTGTCAGCAAGAACGCCCCGCCTGAGTTCCAAAACACCAAGCTCATGACCCGCCTCACCTACACTCTCGACGAGATCGAAGGCCCCTTCCAAGTTTCTGAAGATGGCTCCGTCAAGTTCGAGGAGAAAGACGGCATCGACTATGCCGCCGTCACGGTCCAGCTTCCCGGAGGCGAGCGCGTGCCTTTCCTCTTCACCATCAAACAGCTGGTGGCTTCTGGAAAACCAGACAGCTTCAGCGGAGAATTTCTGGTGCCGTCGTACCGGGGATCATCGTTTTTGGACCCCAAGGGAAGGGGTGCTTCCACGGGTTATGATAATGCGGTGGCATTGCCGGCCGGAGGAAGAGGAGACGAGGAAGAACTTGCGAAGGAGAACAATAAGAGTGCTCAGTCATCGAAAGGGAAGATAACTTTGAGTGTGACGAAGAGCAAGCCTGAGACTGGAGAAGTGATTGGGGTGTTTGAGAGCCTTCAGCCATCTGATACTGATTTGGGAGCTAAAGCTCCGAAGGATGTGAAGATCCAGGGCGTCTGGTATGCTCAGCTTGATTAATTCAGAGACCTTCTTCTTCTTCTGATCTGAGTAATATGGGGCTCCAGATTTTGTTGTAACTAGCCAGAGTTGAATATTCGCTTCTGCACCATCCTATGGCCCAAAGGGTAATATTTTTATTACTGTGTCTGTATATTATAATATTGACTTCAAACTATAATAAAATGTAGTTTTCATTGGTGGTGGCCTGGCTAGTTTTTGTAACATTCCATGTTCTTGTTTACCCAATTGTGAGATGGTTTCTCTTTACATGAGCCAAGCCACGGATTTCGTTGTTAGTATTACTATCCGGTCAGTTTCTGTGCATAATCTTGCACAAATCCATCCTTTAATTTCTATAATTTTCGTTTAATTTTCTGACAATTTTAATTGAAGTATGAAATTTGATGACGTTTTTATATTGAATGATACAAATATAAAATAAATTTGTATTATTTTATTTAAGAAATTTAAGAACCATTCGAGGTTTACTTGAACACATCAAAAGATTGGAAAAAGAAATAAAAACAAGCAAGGAAAACTGGTCAGCACAAATTGATTCAATTTGTTGTGAAATTTATGCCCTTAAAATTTGTAATATGGCGTTTATAGTGTTAAGGAATGTTTGGTAGGAGAGTCAAGCGGTTTAACGGGGAACTATTTAATAATTAAATTATCTAAATTACCAACTCTATATAATGTAACAAATTTAAAAACCGAATCAAAATTCAAATCATTTTGTTAAATTAGATTCAAACTGCATCCTATATTGAACTGCATAAAAATGAGCAAGTGTTTGTTATCAAGAACACAGAATACTTGTCCCGTCTATTAGCTTTCTGAAAGAAAATAGACATGTATCAAATATTCTTAGGAACCTTATAACAAAAGAAATAAATCAAAATTAGTGAAAGCATTTTACAAGGAATTTATTTAATTAACAGAAAAATTAATCAATTTGGATATATCTACGAATATGCAATATAGGTAAAACAAGTCGAACAACAAAAGTGAGGTGAAACTGTATTTTGATTACATAAATAAGTTTAGAATTTGGAAGTCCAAAAATATGGACTTTAAACTATTTATGGGGAGGAATGTTTGGTAGTCACGCTAATGATGAATGGCACGAAAGTATAAGCTGTTTTGGTTTTTCGCACGAAACGTGGCGTGTATCAGAAACCAACCGAGCAAAACGCATTCTACGTGTAAGAAATCCAAACGATGAGAAGAGTCTCTATCCGATTCCACGCTTTTTGCATTGCAATTCACTGCAAAAGCAGAAGGATATGCTATTTTCCTGCTGCCATAGGTTGCTAGAATTTCATACTCCCAGCTTTCTTTGATTTTCTTTTTCCCTTTTCACTTTCCTCAACACCCACTATCTGTTTGATTAAATTACCATGACAAGAACTTGCTCGCAACAATGGAACCGCCGGGAGTGTTTGGCACTAGCTCAAGCTTCACTTTGCGATTGGGCCAGACCGGTTTCTCCACTGCTTCGCTTCTCTTTCTGTGCTTCCATGTTGAATTCTATGGTTACACTGCTTTCTGGTATGCTTTTCTTACCTTCCTTCCCCCTACTCATTGTTGTTCAATTTGAGTCCAAATTCTCGGTCTTGAATTGCGGGTACTCCAGGAAAGCGATGATCATCGGTTCCTCTGTCTCATAAATTTTGTAAAAATATTTGGGAGAACCAAGTTTCCGAATTATATTTTGGGCGGGATAGGCAAGCGAGGGCAGGGTGCGTATAAAATGAGGAGCTTTACGAGTCAAAGGGCACGAGAGAGTGCCATTGTATGCATTAGTTGCAGCTTTACAGAGTCTAGGCCAGATAGCGTGTCATTTCTATTTTATTTAAAGAGTCAGGTATTAACTGCTCAGGTAATGAGTTTGAACTCCTATTTATAAGGAAGCTTTCACGCTGCTAAATTATAAGGCGATTTGCTAGTGTGTCATTTCCTGATGGGAACAAATTATACAGAAGTAGCCAACTACCTTACTTGGGGTTCTTTTTCAATCACTGTCTTTGTTGGTGATGCGCAGCTATTCTATTATAGCAATGGGGTTGGTGATTCCTTGGAGTGCAACATTGTTTGTGGTTGATGCATATTCGCTCCTCGTAAGATGTTTACCGCGTCAAAGAATGATCATATGGATCGTCTTCTTTGGAGACATAGTATGTGAAGTTTCTGACTAAAATGACCTAAAAGGCCTCATTTCTGCCACACTGCACTAATAATTTTGAGTTTTGTGTGCCCCTTCAGTGTCTGTCATATCTCTCTCTGGCTGCAGCTTGCTCAACAGCCAGCGTCACAGATCTGCTGCAACATGCTGGTGGATCCGTCTGCCCCACAAAGTTATGCAATGGATTGCAATTGTGTGCTGCTATGTCCTTCTTGTGCTGGCTTCTTTTATCAACTTCCTGCCTCTTTAATTTCTGGCTCCTCCCTTCCTTGTAAATTTTAAGCTTGATGACGTTATGACTCAAACTTCGATAATACACAGAGTGCTCCCTTCTTCCTACAATGGATTTTCTTTCCCGGAGGATATTCCAAATAGGTTGGGGTTCGAGGTGCCTTTTTTCATACTTGAAAATCCAGGTAAGAGATTGGAAAACAAATGTTTTTGTCAAAGCACCTCAAATCTCAATGTTCTTTTTACCCCTCATCATTCACCTGATGGAAGGAACTCAGGTAACCTTCATGCTCATGAATTGAAGAGTTAAACTCTTAACTTCTTATAAGTTAAGATTCAAGGAGGTGTTTATTGTCAATTGAGCTAAACGTAATGGCCAGAGAATCCTCGTATACTCCCGAAGATACATTATTACAAACTGTTCTTGGCATTTAGATATCCATTTCAAAGAAAACTTATCTAAAACTACGTATTATTGATGTGACATAAATCCATAAAGTGGAGGCGGGGTTTTCAGCCATCAAACCTAAATGTATGCTTACACTTGATTTCGCCCTAGTCTCTCTTGTAGGAATAAATATAGAAGGGATGAGGAAATCATACCGGGTCGGATTGGGTCGGTTGGATCCTTTGAGTTCATGTTATAAGTTAGATTATAAAAGTTTAAGCTTTGAGTGCACAATAGAGCATTTTTTTGTAGGAAAGAATAAGAGAGAGAAATAGTAGAAAAAGCTCAACTATTGGAGTGAGTTGAATTGATTGGTGGAGGCCTTTATTTATAGCTTTTGTTAGGGGTATTTTGGAAAGCCAAAATATTAACTGAGCTCATCAGGTTAAATTTGAGTTAGGATAAATACATCTTTATTTCATAATATCATGATATTTGAATTTAAATCCAGAATCAATTACAATTAATTCTAAATATATAACTCAATACATATTTAATGTATACAATATAAATTAATTAAATTTATATCGTAACTAATTGGGTTTAATTCAGGATGTTTGGCCGAGTCAAACATATCATAATCTTGCTTAAATATTTGATTGGTATATTATCTTAATATCCAGTCAAATAGTCCGGTCCATCAAGGGCGGATCCAAGCCCAAAACCTAACAATCTCTAAAATAACCTCAGATGGAGACGTACTAGTTGTATTTGTGGGGCTGGGCTTAAGAACTAGGCTTATGTGATATTTGGTGGTGTTATAATTTTATGGGCGCTTGTATATTAGGGTCAGCCCAGCCTTGTTTGACATCCCTTACTTAGGTTAGGCCCATTGACCCTTGCCCTGTTTGCCAAGACGCACGAGAAAAGCAACATATTCATCAAATAACCATATCTTGTGTTATTTTGAGAATCAAGTTCATAAATTTTTTATTCTTTTAGACCACTAATAATAAATAACCATGATTCTGCTTGTAAATTTGTGATATTTGAGTGGTAAATATATACTGGTAGTGTTCAATATCTTTTTAGTTATATGTGAATGATAAATGCTTATAGCTTGGTTAGTAAATTGACATGTGAATAGTAGTTCAAGGGACTTTCTTAATACTACCTTCAGCCCTAAATATAAGAGTCAATTAATTAATTTGAGTAGATTAAAAAATAAGTTAAGTTAGTTATTTGTTATAAATATTTTGTATTTCCTAAAATATCATTGTTAATCAATATAATGAGTAGAACTATCATTATTATAAAAACTATTTTTAAAAAAATGAATAAATATGATAGATAAAGTGAATTGGGATCTTATATTTAGGATAAAATAAAAGTCAAATAGGGTCTTATATTAAGGAGCATGATAGTAATTAATATGTGAATTTTGTCTTTCACTATAATTTTTTCTTCTACATGTTTCCAATTATGTTGTGAAAACCCGGAAGAGCAATCACTATGATTCAGGCCAAGTTCAGTATTTTATTATTGTCGTTATTCTTCTTATCATTACTCTATACCTAACTAAACATATAAGAGAAATAACATTTTCATTCTATTCTATATTGTATCAATTACAATTACAATTGACTATCATTTATGTTTTTTCTTCATACATACATGCTCTTTCATACTTAAATCAAGTTTGCGTACTGGATAAGACACTAGAGCTTATATTAATGTTAACACACATCTCATGTGTAAATTGCAAGGCGATTTATTGTTATCTAAGCGATTTATTGTGATTTGTGAAATGTTTAAGAGTATGAATAATCTTGCATTGTATAACAATTGTAATTCCCAACTCTTTCGAGACCGTATATGTGCCCCCCCCCCCCCCAAAACCAACAAAACACATATATTTACTGCTTTTAATTCATAATTTTTTTTTCTACTCATAGGTATCTTTCTATTAGAAACAACTCTATTTGAGACACTGTTAGGCCCTACATGTTAACACTTCTCCCAGTAGGGATTCAAACATTGATTCGTCATGTTGTAAGGGACTAGTCCCTTCCACTAGATCTAATCCTTGTTGGTTAATTCACAATTTTTGACATCATTCACACATAATTATTACTTATAACTGTGGCATGCTTAACTTTATTGAGCCCCTAATGCTGATTATGTTTTTAAAAATCACATAAATATTGGTCGAAGATAATATCCAACATCAACTTGTACAATAAATCTGTTCATTCGTTGTTTATTTTAAATGAACAGTGCTCTCATTCAATTGCGCACATTACGGATGCCACGAGTCCACGAGCACATATTGTAATGATCATAATAAAATTAATTAATAATGAATAATTATTCCAATAATGCTTCAAGGATTGAAACACCGGTAATGATATACACGCTTAATAATGGAACACGCAATCCTGCAGTGTCTGAATGGTAATGTATCTTGGGCTAAATCCAAACGGATTATATATGAAGCACATATAATTGTTTGAGGAACCAAATTATTAAAAAAAAGGATTAGGATTTAGGAATTACATAATTGTTGGTGAACCGACAGGCAATAACACATTCAACGCATTTATATATATATATGTATATATTGCTTATTTTAAGACTTTGAAGGCAATAATGTGCGTGGGTATATATAGCTATAGGTAGCCACAAACAATGATCCTATATCTATAATTTCCATTTCGAAAGACAACTTATCATTTAGGTATCTTTGATTTGATTTGAGTATAAAACTAATTAGGTTTATTGCCAAGAAAGTTCCTCGTTGCTATGAAAAACCAGAGATAAAGACAAGCAAAGGGTCAAATCAACATAGGATCAGGACCACAGCCCGAATATATAGCAGATGAAGCGGTGCCATACAATATAATGATGCACATATTTATTGTGTTCAATGCATCGTGTTCATAATTTCATACTTAATCCAATTAATAGAGGTTTGTCTTAATTATTAGTTCCTGCACTTGGGTAATTCATTATGTTTGAATACTCGAAACAATTTGGGAATTAGTTTCCGAAGTTATTGCAAGTGAGAAATTAAAGAAACGCATGAAATTAGGATATCCTAACAAATTAAAGATGAATTTGCTTTAGCTTGAGGTATTGAATGCCAAAGATAGCTCCAGATATAATCAAAATTGTGGCTAGGATGTAGGAATGCGGGCCTGGTGCATCAGATAATGGCAACCAACTTACGTTGTCCGTCTATATATCATAAATGACAACTTAGGATGATTAGATGCTTCAGCGATAGCTAAATTGATAAACAATAATTGAGAGATAAAGTAAGATGAAACGTGGAAGGTAAAATCTTATTGATATGTTAGTTAAAAGTTAATACTGCCTCTAGTACTTAATATAAGACTTCGTTTGACTTTTATCTTGGTTATAAATATAAGACCCCAATCTACTTTGTCTTTAATATTTATACATTTTTTTTCCAGATAGTCCTTCTAACAACAGTAGTTCTAGTCAATACACTTGATTAGCAAGTATATTTTAGAAAATATAACACCTATTTATGACAAATAACTAACTTAACTTCTTTTCTTAATCTCCTCAAATTAGTCAACTAGCTCTTATAATTAGGACCAGAAGTAGTACAATTTTTTTATCTCTTAAATTGCTCTCATTTTGAGTTTGGTCACTCCAATTGTCTTAAACTATAGTTTTTAGTTTCTCAAGTTTCTTCTCATTTAAATATTGATCTCTATAATTTAACAAAAACCTGTATCATTTTACCCTTTGAAAGCCAACACTGAAATGAAATAAATTCGGGAGACGAAAAATTATATGAACTCTGTATTAAAATATAATTATTAGCTCAAAAGATGCATGTTACCAAAACAAGACTAGCGCCACCATGTTTTGGGTCTGTGGGCACAGAGGCCGAGTCCTTTAATTGCCCTGAAAACAACTTCACGTACGTGTTAATAAGAGGCTATATGGAAGACACGTGAGTTCACAATTTAAATATATATATTGGTAAATGGAAATCCGTTTGGTAAATTCATAAAGAATTAAAGATACTAATGTATATATTCTGTAGCAAGCTGTTTTGCATGCAAAAATCACGCTTTTCATCATTTAGTATTGACTCAAAATATGAAATTAAGGTAGATGATCTCAAATTCTGGGCGTGGCACACAGACAAATGGATGCCTCCAAATATCGCAAATGGGATCATCATATATAAATAATGGGTATCTTGATTGGCTTGCAACTTTCTTGGGATCAGGGTTTATAGGAATATTATATGTATATTTATTTATATATTCGTGGGTGTTGATTCTATGGAAGCTTAAAAAGCCACCAAACGGGCAATATTCCCCATGATATAAGAGATACATGTTGACGCGAATTAACTGGGAACACGTTGACCTGAATTTTGTGGTGACTAATATATCCCCTTTAAATTGCATGAACATTAATTATATTCTTTGAATATGAGTAATTATATACAAGAATATTACAATTTTAAATATAATCACAGGCCTCTAAAAAATTTTTAATTAAATTCTTTATGACATGAACAATATGCTCTTCAGTTCTCACACGCTTAGAACTTCATTTGAAAAAGATCTCTTAATTTATGAGATCAAATTAGTGTTACGTTTACTCCAGGAAATAAGCCATCTGTCTTTTTTATGACAGATATGTGTGTGCCTGTGTATCAGCGCAGACAGAA